CTTGACTAAAACTTCATTTACCAAGAAATGGAATTTTAAAGAGCACCTTTTTTTTTTACTAAACGAATATTAATTGAATAATAATAATAAGAAATATCGATATTTATTATTCAATTGAGTTACGTTTTTTTGTAATTTATAAAATAATGTTGGAATAATAAATACTGCTACTTAGTTTTTTATTTGTGTTTTTATCGGAATTAAAAAAGTTATTTGTGAAAACAAAAAAATATAAAATCCATTTAATTAGTTCAATAATTACCATCAATTATCTCGATAAATTTCATCTGTGTAGATGTCTAATTAAGTAACTTAATTACATTCCAATGTAGCATTAATTTCCAGTTCATCACAATTATCGTATCACGAATCTAAAAATTAGAAAATTGTTTTCAAGAAGTCATTTTCTCTTTACTGGCTGCTTCTCGCACGTGGAGTTCCCTCATATACCTGGGAATAGACCCTAAAACCGAGTTCACATTGATCTCAGTGGATTTTTCGAGAATTCTCCGACAGTTTCGTAGAATTACAAATCGTGAGGCTGTAGAAGGTCGAGGTTGTTTTCGAGTTTTTTTTCGCTTTAAATAACAAAAAAGTGAGTAAAATTAAAAAAAAAATTGCAACGATCCAAAACGAGGGGGAGTCAAAGCATGGAAATAAAAGGAATAAGTTAGATTTTGTGAGAGTCGTCCTCCTCCTCATCTTCTCACTTCTTCGGTACTCTTGATTCTATATATATTTTTTTTGTTTTTTTTCTCTTTTTCTCCTTCTTCTGTTCTCGCTTTCGCTCTCACCATCCACGCCGCGAGAGATTTATAAGCACGAGCTGTGATCCTTTTCAAAGACCCGCCGCGGCGGTTCATCTTCGAATGGGGACAATTTGGTGTCGCCCTACTCATACCTTTTCCTATACGCTCTTGAAAATCATTGGGGCGAAATGGAAAATGAGTGAATTATAATATAACTATATAGACTACTACTGCCTATGTGACTTTAAAACGTCACCCTTATTTTCTTTTTCTTCTTCTCCTTAACAAAAGCAAGTCAATTTCACAGCAATTAAGGTATGATTAATTGTTATATTATTGTCAGAAATTTATCTTATGTTCCATCCTTTTTTTAATCAAAAAACCATAAGTCTGGATTGTTAACAAATCCTAATAAATTGATTGACTTTTAATTACACTATTATTTAGAATATTTTTGCCAATCGTTAACATGAATTTATATCAATTTCATTCATCCATTATATCCATCATATTAAAAATGTAGACTGCTATTACAGCAATTTTTATGCCTGCTCTAATTATTTGAATAGTTTTAATTATAAAAAATGTAAATTTTTTTGGTTTCAATTTAATACTTGTTCAATATTATTGATTAATTATTTTGTGTCTTAAAACGGACTTTGACAATGTCAAAAATGATTTCAAAGGATTTTAAAAAATACTTATATTTAGACTAGCATATCATAATTATCTAGATAGCTACTATAACTATCTCGCTAGTTAACCTCAGAGATACAGTATTATTTCTACGTCTGTAGATTTTTTCAGTCCAGTAATAATTTTAATTTTTGATCAGTATAAAATTTTTTTTGTTCAAATAAAATTGCATGCAAAAAATTTTTTTTAACTCTACATTCAGTAGTTTCATGTGGGTTAAGAACAATTGCAGAAGTTTGTCGGGTTGATTTTGACAAAATGTGAACGACACGAGGAGAATGTTTCTCTTGGTGATTATTTTCTCGCACTTTCGACACGCCCAGACGATGTTTCTGCACGTCAAGCTTCCGTCTCCACTTGCAGTAGTATACTAAAAGCATTGAAAATAAATAAAATGAAGCTTAGAGCATGAGGCTTTGTGAGTTTTTTGAGTCGTGAATAAGAAACAGGCATATATGTACGTATGTAGAACGTAGATTGAGCATGTGAGGTATGCCGTGTAGAGAACGCCCAGCCAACAAATCATCGATACAATTCTTACTTGAAGATCGTCCGAGTTAATTCCACTTGGAATAGTATCCCTGAATAGAAAGAGTTCAACTGGCAGCGGCGGGGAACTTTTTTTACATTAATGCAATGAGACGTGACTTTTCGTTTCTAACACTTATCTTTAACTCTCTATATACAACACACGTTTATTCATTTTTTATTATACTTATTGCTATCAAACTTGAGTTTTTCCAACACAAATAATCGTCAAGATGAAAACAGGAAAAGTCGGGTACTTTTCAATGTAACCCAGGAAGAGTAGAAGCCTGACGTGAAATAAGTACCCTCGCTTCAAGTTTCTTCTACCGGCGCGACGGGAATTATTTAAATGGATTACTGCGGCAGCTCCATGGCAAAGTTTTCCGGAATCTGCTGATCCGCTCTTAAAATTTAGATGGATTATGAGACGAATAGCAAGCACAGTCCCGTCGAGATGGTGATGCAATAAGCGACTCGACAACTGGCGTCTACGTCTCAAGGTAAAACGTAGTTTTCTTTTGCGACATTTTACTGTTGGTGTGCAGCAACTCCAAAGCTTCCTGGTACTTATTATACTTATATAAGTGTAAGGGGAAGAGCTTTTTTCCAAGGGACTAACAAAGAGGGATTGGTTGGACCGGGAAGATGTTTACTGCCTTGCAAAGTAACGCCAGCTTCATTAATATCCATTATCCTTCGTGGCTGCAACTGTAATTAGCTTCGTGAAGATATCTCCTGGAAAAAGACATGCTCAACCAATATATCTATGAATTATTTTGCTACTTTTTCCTTTCTTGTTCTCGTGTTTCAGATTTTTTTCTATGAAAATGAAGAAATTATCTTTACGTGCTTTATGAATTAATTCAAAAACATCCTTTGTTTTTATAAAAATTATTAAATTTATCATGATAATCAATTTTTTCATTCAACTTGACTGTGAATTTCTATTGTTTTAAAAATGATCTCAGTTGAAGAATTGAACATTTACAATTAATAAATATCATCTGTGGTAAATTTATAATTTCATTCATTAAAAAATCTCATTTTCGGAGAAATAAAAGACTGAAGAGTAAGATAAAAAATAAATGATTAGCACGATAAGAAGATTACTCGACTTTATTCTAGATTACTTTTTTACTTGGACAAAAATCAATTTAAAATTAGTATCAACATTTGTAATATTTCATGAAGAATTTTCTCAACACTACAGAAACTTATCTATTAAGAAAAAAAAAACAAACTCCAGTATTTCATCAGAAAAATTGAGAATAGTTTTATCCAGTTTCAACGAAAAAATTCCCCACATGAGGTTATTTTATCTTCACCCTATGTAAAAATAATAATATCCAAGGGTAGCATTACACAAAGTTACTGCTTTGTCATTGAAATTAATAACTAAGTTATTGTAGTGTGTTAAAAAAAACTCTAACACCGGGTTAAAAACTTAGAAATGTAAAACGGCGTTAGTTTGACATAGAAGTAGAGAAAATGTGTATTTGGAGATGTACAGTTGATGCATGTAAAGTGTTAAACACTGTCCTGATGACTAGTACACTTATCTATTTGGTACGTACGCGTGTTGCTGCTGTAAACTTGGCTCTGTACGTTGAAACGTAATCGTACGAGAGATCCTATTGCATGAATATAATTTGCATACAAGTTGAGTATATGGCAGCATCAGCTGGCACACGCCCGCATAAACGTTTATATGGGGCCAACAGATGTAGACGTACGAATGCTCAGTACCGACGTATTATACGTTCGTAAATATCTTTTACACTTGATATATTATCACAAAATACGACTAACTAATAGCACCTAACAATTTACGATTACGTCCAAATGCCAGCTTGATTATTTATCAATTGGCTATTAATCAATATTAATTTATATAAAGTCCACATTCTGAATCACCCTAGGAGCAAAATGGAATATTCATGTGATGTTTGTATATAATAATGATGGTAATAATGGAAGAATCAATTATTTGTTGGCATAAATGTTTGTTTATTATGCATACAAACCTGTAGATATAAGGTATAGCTCTAAGTGATAATAAAAAAAGAATTAAAGCTCTATCACTCACCAGTAAAAGTCTCACGAGATCATAAACTATAATCGAATTGCCGCCCGTGACACATCATTAAACCGAATGTCTGTATCTCTTAAGTTTCGATCCGACGTTATTATTCTTTTTCTTCGTCTTCCTCGCACTTTCTATGTTCTTCAGCCTATAAAGAGTCAGGATTAAGGTTTTTTTTTTATCACATATTTCGCCATTCCACACGAAACATATCTGATCTGCTGCAAGAGACAATGGTTGAAGGCAAAAGGTATTTTAGAAGATACTTCGATTGCCACACGAAAACAACGACTACATCGAAGTGAGTGGAAGAGGCAGGAGGAGACCAAAGAAGTCTGGAAGGAATGAATGCTTCTTTGAAGCGACCGACGCCACTTGTTGGTCTATCATGACGCTCCACCGACCTCTTTAAATTCGATCGCCACCCAGCTTCTCCTGTACTCCTTCCGTCCTCCCTCTCTTGCTTCCTCTCCTGGCTTTCATACCTATTAGAAAGCCAGATTTCATGTTCAAAGATAACTCATATTCCTATATGGCATAATTATGTTCATGGTGGTTCCAGTTTTCCAGATGTTTTGAATTTGATTAAGGTCATTCCGAATTACCGATTTCAAATCATAATCATGACTTATTCCATTGGTTAATAAATATTTTATACATTAATTTGTCTTTTCAATTTCTGTTTTAAACTTAGTGGAGCATGCTTTGAAGATATTTTTGAGAAATTTTTTCTTGAAGAAATTTAATTATGACTAGAAAATGAAGAGAAGATTTTTTCTGTGTAGTAAGGTGTTTTACTCTGTTTTAATTTTTAAATTAACTACGAATCACGATATTTATCCACTATTTTAATTAAAATAATTTTATTTTTCAATTATAATTTTTTAATTATCTGATGAAAATGAGAGAAAATGATTGTACTAACGAGATATATGAATTTTCAGAATATAGATATTCGTATGAGTGAATAGAAAACGGACGCAAGCGAAAGATATACACATCCATTACCATCAGCATGCAAATTAGATTGGAGATTAGTGAAAATCCTTTCGTAACAATTCTCGGGACCACGGACGGAATGAGGAAAGACTGAACTGTGGAAACGAGTAGCAGTAGCCCTTCTGTACTCGACGTTAGCGGTGGGCTGAATCAAGAAGATCGAGAGAGGAAAGTGGCGAGAAAGTCGTACAGACGTACACGAGGGAATGAGATAAAGGTACGTAACGTAGCAATGGCTTTGAGAAAACTCTTAATGGAACTTAATTAACGTCTACCACTGTTCGAGTGGTGGATTTCACGAGCATCAGCCGGCCAGAGTTTCTGTGGGTGCGTGCTCATTGCGGTTTAGGAAACGCCTGTTAGATGAGTCGACCAATTCAATTAGTCATTCCTGTAATGTAGTGGCGTTGATGACAAACCAGTACACTCTGCTATTATTATATCACTTATAAGGAAAGGACAAGTAGGAAGAATAATGGCTCTATTAAGTTGGTCGAATATTTGAAAGAAAAACTAGCATGGGTATAATTTGATTCGTCATGGAATAGTCACGGGTCTTCTAAAGCCTCTAACAAGACATGTCATGGCTCTGATAATCATACAGCAACGGAAAACATTTTTTTTATCTTTAAAGAAAACCATAAAATGTTTTATAAGCGTAAACCTCAAGTATTCTATGAATTATTTTTTCATTTTTACTTGATGGAATTTTTACCTATAAAATTTTTTTATGTGCCTTCTTGTAATAGATAACAAATTTACTCTTAAAATATTATCGTAATAATTGTGTATGTTTGTTTTTTATTTTTATTATTCATTTATACTAACAGAAAAATTATTGTTCTTCTTTTATGTCATTTTATAAATGGGTATCAATTCATATTGTAGTAATTATACTTTTATGAGCTGTAACATCTTTCTAAATGACTGAAAGAATGTTTTTGATTAAAAGTATAATATTTTGGAGAATTCGGTATTTATAAAGATATTTGGAGTAAAAAAAATAGAAATGAATCTGAATTACTCCATTTTCTTCACATCTAAATAATGAATTTTCTGCTGAGTAATTCAATTATAAATACCTTGTTATTTATATCAGCATCATTTCTTCAAAATACTTGTTCATATTATCACTGGTTTCTTGAGAAACCACATAAATGATTGCTCTATACTCGAGTCGACATCTCATCTTATCAAGTATGCATGTGTTTTCTCGTCGTATAGCTTTAACAAGCCAGCCTTTGGAAGCAAACGATGATAATAATAAAATTAAAAGCTTAGTCAGAAGAGTGTCCATTCATTCAAAGCACATTTCATTCATATATCGTCGTTCAAACTACAGTATACATATGAACAAGGTCGGGAACGAAAACAGGTTTGTGCATTATAATCTGAACAAGACACGTATATAACTGCACTTAATTTATAAATTTACCATACCAATTGGTAATAACGATTCGACAATTGAATTTACTGATAATTGAATATCAACCAAATGCACATTCACCTTTACATCTTTCATGTATTTGCATTAATAGGGAAATTTTCATACAAGCCTTATTGATTCTCGTATTATAAATTATCCACGAGCAATACTGATAATGACAGCTATGTAGGATATTTTCATCATGTGCGTAAATAGATATGTTTGTAGAGGGATTAAAATAACTGATGCAATTGTTGATGGTACAAGAATACGATTATTGATTACTCGAAAAAATAATTATCTTTATACGGATATGATAACTACTGTTAAAGATAAAAGAGTTCTCGTATGATATTTTTTATCAATTTGTCGGTTAAAAATATTTTTTCATTGTTTTTAATTGAATGGCTATAATGTCACACAGAGTATTAAAATGATTGCTGCAGCATCTGGTTACTGTATCTCAACTCAACGAACAACTCAACACTTTATCTTTTAGATAATAAATTCTCGATGCTTAGTCTATACTCTTGAATTTCATCAAGGTATAATCGTACGATAAAAAAAAGAAACACGAGTTTCGAATGTTGCTATCAGAGTGACTATTATAGTCTTGAATGATTCGCCGAGTGATCTCGTAGTCAATTTATCTCTTGGGATTTCCTATCAAGCTACCAGAGAAAGAGTAACGGAGAAAGAGATATTTTGTCTAATATAAGTGTACTGTAGATATCTAGAATTAAATTAAGTATCAGTCACCTGGTCTTTAATCCTTGTCACACTGATAAACTTCAACTTGAGCTGATGCATTAAAAGATGAATATCAGCACAAAGGTTTAGGTTATATCTTTTAATGACTTTTTCATCATCATCATCATCATCACCATCATGATCATCATTGTGACCATCTTTGTACGACAGTTAGATGTTGAGTTAATACGAAATAATCCTTACAATAAATTTTCCAAGTATAATGAATGTATAACGAGCAACTATATAGCAACGTTAATTGGAGTCATACACTTTGATCTAGATGGCAGAAAATACATCTGATCTTTAAACTGATGATCCATGTAAGTTCTCGTGAACTCTGCCGGAAACTAAGCTCTTTAAAAAGCGTCACAACCGTTGAGTATTTTACCAAGACACGATCCCTACTTCAGTCAAACTATTTTCAGACATTCCAACAACAACATACAGTATTGCTGCAGTGTAAGAGAAATACGTGCAGACAAATTTGTTTGACGATGTAAGTCTTTGGGTCTAAACCAGTGAAACTGACATGATTTTTGAAGTTTAAATTTTCAGATAATTGGAAAAAAACACTGTGTCCAACAGTGATGAAATGAGACGGTTTTGAAAATAAGATAAAATGTGGAAAGACGCGTTTCTGGGTACAATACGCTGTCTAGATGCGATAACATCACAACTATCGAGTTCTAGAATCAACCGAAAAGGTTTTTCATGTTCTTCTTCGTTATACGATCTTGTACGCATTCGTACGAAAGTATCCAGGTAACAAGCACCCCCAATTACGTCAGTCCGAATTAGTAGTGCCCCGACTATTTTAAGCCTTGGCGTTCCTTTACTTATCTATACTTCTTCTCTATGAACATCTACATAATACGACTACTGTCAAATCGTTCTCGAATATACCTAAACCATCAACCAAGTGACAATTTTTCATTTTTAAATTGGTAACCGATACTTTTTTCCTCTAGCTTCATTAATCATTTTATTTTTGTAATTATCAGAGAATACTCAATGGCCAACTGTATAGTGTCACTAATTGAAACAAATAACTAATAAAAAATTTCATTTACGAAATATCACAGACTTTTTTAACTCAATCGTGACTAGGATATTTCATCCATGGCTCTATAACTCATTGATACAAACCTCAAACATTGATATTGAGCTATACTTTTATTCTGCTAATGAAAGTTAAACATAGGGATATTTGTGGATGAGTATGAGCATTTAATATGTTTGATGTTTGGAAGAATCTTCGTGCTACTTACTGTTTACTATGGATTAATTATTGTACAAAGATTAAGTTACATTATTTTTATTTGTTTGACTATGATCAGTCACAATAACTGCTTCAGGTGAGATAAAAAATTCACAAGATATTTTAAATAATTTTTACTTTTTAAGAAAAAAAAAAAGAAAAAAAAGACTCAATCAGATATAAAAATAATTTGATATAATATAATTAGTCAATGGGGAGTATAAATGTAAGGTGATTTGTACTTGTCTACTTATTGATTATGTTCTCGAGTAATTCAAATAGTACGTGAGAACATTTACCAGTGTTTAATGTGCTCTTGTAGAGACTTGTTAGTCGTCAGTGATATTGTCACGTTGAGTGTATTCAGGAAGTATAATTAAATCAAGAAGACGCAGGGGATATACATTAGATATCTCCCGTAGGAGTGCAAAAGGTCAAATGTCTACTAGTCTAATCATAACTCTACGAATAGGTAGTATAGAGACACGTGTTGTCCTAATGTCTTCATTAGATATTGCTACGTGACTTGTATTTCTATGATTACCAATTTTAATCCAACTTGATTAGAGTCTTATACGTAAAACAGTGATGGCTTTCATTTGGTCATTGAATTGGCGTATCGTGTAAATAAAAGATAATACTCTTTTTTCATGACAAAGTATATGTACGCGATGAGAACACGTAACGTTGGCTGTGATCAAAAGTGAAAATTGCAAAAACGAACGGCAAACTAATACACTCAGACTACGAACTGATCGGCTGGACAATAAGAGCACGTCCGTTGGAATAAATAATTTGCAAGTGGCATGGACGAAGTGAGTGGTTGCAGGATTGGAAATGAGGGGATATCAGGGTGAAAAAGCGACGGGTTTACTGAAGCTGCAGCCAACTTTGCTTGGACTATCTGGCTGGTGTATATGTATATATGTATAGCGATTTCATTGCAGACGCAGTGGCGTTTGACCGACGTGTGATATGCAGCAGAGACAGAGGAGAATGCAAGCACTCGCTGATGGTGTCACACGCACACATACCCACAGAGTATATATACTTTTTTCACCTTTTGCACAGTGTGCTGATGCTCCACACCCCCTTGCCTACTCTCTACCTCTATTACTCGTACCTTTCAAACGGCCGGTGCAATATTCACCGCCTCTCAGCGTAACGATATAGAGATCGTCAGGATCTACGCGAGCGTCAAGAGGGTGAGGTAGGAGGAGGAGAGGCAAGCGAATGAAAAAAAATCAAAAAAGCTCACGTGGCCAATGCCTCCGACCGTCAAATTGGCGCCGCTGTCCATCACCGGTGTGCCCCACAGACTGGTGCATTCGTATGTACGTGATGAACGCCAATCCATGCCAACAGTTGAGAGCAGAGAGAACAATAACGAGACGTCGCATCGTGCTCTCTGCTTTTCACCCATTTCATTTGGATCTCTAATGTGAAACTATATACATATACATCCACACTTGTACATATATATTATTCCATTCTTTTTCATCCAATTGCTTTTAACGGCTTTATGGTGGTAAGAAATAAATATTTCAATTAGTTTTATTATTACATTGCATAATAAATAAAACATTTTTATATTTTTTTTTTATCTATTCGTCGCTTGCATTTGTCTATTATTTATATTTTTGGCCTTTTTATTTAAATTAATTTTGTTAAATAACTTTGATTATTATTAATAAAACTGTATTTACGAAAATTTTGAAGCATATAGTTTTATATAATTGTTATAAAACTATGGTAGTATAAC